GATAAGCTCACTTAGGAGTGACTAAGGTGCTGATGAATATTACAGCATATTACAAACAGCGTAAAAAAAAATAAAACTCATTGAACAGTAGTGTCATTTATTTGTTTCTTCTCCGTCTTGTGTTTTAACTTTGTTTAAGTTTCTTTCTAACCGGACATTTTATTGCTCGATTTTCCTTGCCGGGGCCTTTTCTACTTGATCTTGGTTAAATATTTACCGTTTACTACTTTACCTTCTGTTGCGTGTTGCCGGATCATTTTCAGTTTGGTAGATTTTGAATAATGTCAAGGTCACAGCAAGGTTCACTTTATGACTACCAACCTTAGACTGTCTTGTTGGAAAGGTTTTAGTGGCCCGAGATCTGACTCCAGTTCGATCGTTTGATTATGGTTATCGAACGATTGCTATCGAAATATACATGTCACCAATCTTCGTATATAATCATCAACTTGAATCGCGTTATTGAATAACGGAATTAAATAAGTCAAATAGGGGAATGGATATTCGAATACATTTATTTTGTACAATTGTTGATCAGAGCAGACAATCAGAGAAACAGAACGGAGGCAGCGAAGAGAAGACGAAATAACGCATAAGGGAGAAGGCATGTGGGCTAACTCTATGTAATCAAGCGTTAATTGATAGTTATAGTCACAAAAATAAGTTATAGAAATGTGATGAGCAAGATTAGAAATGCACACACGTACGCTTACATAAAAAATGGTTAAGATTGATGAGCGAATGATTAACAAGGTCAAAATGTGACTCAAGAAGAATGAATTGACCTGTGTGGATGATAGAATAAGCTACGTGTGTTTTCATAGCACTACGAGGTTCCTGGAATCCTTGTAGACAGATATTTGAAGGTGAGATAATAAGTTGTGTATGACCTTTGAGCAACGTAAAGTGACCTTGGAGATGCCGATCTACTACATAGGATTAAAAGAGGGTTATAAAGCAGTGTGAGGAATGACAAGGTTAAGAATTAGATTTGGGGTTTTTATCACGAACTTACGCCAGCTATAATGACGAGATAGTATTGAGCTAATTGAGTGTGTAGTGACATAGTTTTATCAACAGAACGTGATTGGTGTAATGGAAACAATTATTGTTATAACCAATTGTACTAGGGATTGTTTTACCGTGCTTGTTCGTTTAACTGTACCAAAATAAATTCATTCTTCCGTTGATTGTGACCCTGCGCTTATTCGGTTACGCTCAGTAACCACACTTGTAACCTGGCACGACCTCAGTATTCTTTCGATACCACGAGATCGCCATCAAATACATCTCGGCTACAGCCGTCAAGTGCCTTTTGATATTTGGCGTACGGGGGATCTTATCGGTTAACTGCTACATAGTTTTTCTGCATTGTTGATCATAGTCAACCGTGACTGCACACCACAGTACAAGTGTATGAATTTAGCGGTTAAATCCGAGACCTGTTATCTTAAATCTAACTGGCTTGCCCATAAATTATAGTCTCGCTGTTTTCGATTAGGCCCGTTTAAATCGAACACAGAGTTTGTATTTTAATATAATTTGATATGAGTCACTCAAAAATGCATCGTATGTTATATAGAAGAACGTGGTCTGGTTTAATAGAACAACCTTTTGTTTGTTAGTTCAAACCGAATATAGGAATTTCTGTCGTTACACTGCTATTAGTGTTTCTGAAGAAGTGGTTGTAAAACTAATCGACTGAGGAACCATGAGCTTTTGGGGTTTTCCAGGTTTTTTCTGTTTACTACAGCGAGCGGAGTATAGCATGGTTCCGTTTCGGGGGTCCGATCTACGTTAATGTTTATTATTGATTAGCGTGATTCACAGGTACTCAAAGCATGATACATGCGAATTATCCTGAGATTTGTAGAGAAACACAGAGTTATTCAGACATTGGGAATCTTTGAGAGAAACGGTTTAAGATAAATGCTTGGATCATTAGTAAAGTCATCTAGTTGAAAATTGATACATTCATAAGGTTGGTGATAAGCATTTGTGACACATCCAATTCATTGTTCCTGTACATGAGTTTTGTGGAATAATTAATGACCATGACCTTAAATTTGTGGAACTCCCTATCAACAGAAACAATGATGACGCTCTTAGTCAAATTTCTCAAAAGATAGGTCAACCTTTACCATATTTCTGTAGGTACCAATGGATATTATTTTGTTAATCTTCCTTCATTATTCTCATTATTGACCGATGTTCTAACCATTTTAGGCACACGGCATGAAGACTCAATCAAAAGTGTTAACATACAAGCGGTAAGAGTAGCATATTGAAGCAATTCCAAATGGTTCGCACATAAAACAGCAATCTATATCAACTGTTGTAAAATAATAACTATTAATAGACAGGGAATGCTACTTGAGCAAAATGTTTTTGTTGAGAAATATCATAATCTTATTTTCCTCATCTAGGATCTAAGTTTTTTCGACTGCCGAATATCAACGGCGTGAAATGAAATATATCTTAACGTTTGGGTATAAGGAGAGTCAGAAATCTCATGAAGCATAGGATAATCTGTAACATGTGCAATGTAGTTACATTGCATGGTATATTTAAGCATGTATACAACGAAAATAGGTATTACATATCTTTTTCAATGCAACATATGAATTGCATTATGATTATGTGTACAATGTCACATGACAATGCAAGATTTTATAAATTTGTGCTTAAAAACTTGAAAGAATAAACAGCTACAAATGGCCACAAAACCGCTTTATCTCTACATGAATACAAAACAAAAAGGAAAAAGCAGTTTATCATTTCTGTCTACCAAATTTTGAGGTCTGTATAATATTGAAACTTTAAGAAATATTGGTCACAGCTTTGAAAGTTAGGAAACACAAGGTCACTTGAGGGACAATTCGAAGTGTCGGTTTGAAGGTACAACTTTATGCTCGATTTTGGGTTGCTGTTTTGTTTAAAATACACAGTTTCTGTTATCTTTGATCTAATATTGGAAAGAAATAATTATTACGCTCGTAAGAATCACTCAGGTGGACTTGACAAATAACAGTACTGTTCTCTGTCTACAATAAATATTCGAAATTAACTAGCATAAACGTATTTTGTAAAGTCCCATAATGTATATAGGCGAGGAATCTTGACTTTCAGCTTATCAGTGGTACTTTTTTTTAGCTGACTTAAAATACGTGTTAATCTTGTGAAATTACAAATATGATTCTCTAAAACTTAAGACCAACTTGTCTATCATTCGACTGTAAGCCCACTGGTTCCAGAGCAGTAAGTTAAGGTTCAGGAAAGAAGTACTGCTGACTTCATATTTGCGTGGCAAGATTAGGGTGTTTTTCTAAGAACCAACATCCGCAGCGATGCTACTTTCTCAAAATGAAAGAAGGGGGTCAGAAAGGGTGATATAAACAATATCGCATCTCACCTTACTACATGGATTTCTGTCTTCAACAGAAAATTTTTTGCATTTGCCACGGTTGAAGAAAGGAACCTGATTCTAGGTAACTCATGTAAACTGATTGGATCCGTAATATACGTCCGTGAGGATCTCAGCCTAGCTGATTGTAATAAGAAACAAGCTGCAGAAGTGGAAATAAATTAGCGTCACTGAAACGGCGAAAGAAACCTCGTTCTTAAGGGTTTTCAAATTGTAAAAGTTCGGAGCAAAACGATCCCCAAACCATTCTGGATGGTAAGGAAAAGTTCTCCACAGACTTAAAGGTACGCTGCACAGATGCTCGCAGCCTACTAAATAAAGTGACGGAGCTCAAGCCAATGGTGGATAAAGAAAAACCGGATGTTATCGCTGTCTCGGAAACTTGGTTAACGTCAGAAGTACTAGATAATGAGATTCAGTTGACTGGTTTTTTAACCAGTAGGGCTGATAGATTAAACCATAGGGGAGACAGGGTTATCATGTACGCAAAAAGTACCCTAACCATAAGAGTAAGTGAGACAGTGGCACATGTTTCAGGGACATGTGAACTTGTCCGATGTAAGCTGAAATGTAGACGGCAAGATATTGAATTAGTTGTAGTATATCGCAGTCCAGAATGTGTAGCAGATGATTTTCTCCAAAGTAAATTTAAGTCCTGGTGTGACAAGGGTAAAAGCCTTGTAGTATGCGACTTTGATGCTATTGAATCAATCCTCGTGATTGAATCTTGGTTTTTGAAATGATCCCCGAAAATTGAACCTTACAGGTAGGCTTTGGTTGATTGGATTATGTATGACCTACGAACTAATACCTTTTGATCGCCTATGACAGTTGGCCATGTTTATTTTGTATTCAAATTATGTATATAAGCAAGTTATTTTTGTGATGAAAGTGTCTTATTTTCTGGCTCAGTAGTATCGTCTTCGATTTCTAATCATATGGGGCTTGAGTTAATAATACGGTCTTGTAAACAGCCACCACTCAGTCGCATCATATCACTATGTTTATCTATTAATTAACCTTTGATTTATTGATTTTAACAATCCAAAATTTAGTCTCATCAAATCATCAAAGGCGTCCTTCATGACAGTTGCAATTTCTGATAAAGCATTATCCAGGAGTGTTTGCATTATAAGACATTGAGAGGTTATCCAGAACAGTATTATTTCATAGTCATATCAAGTTTATAGTCTCTTTAACAACGGGAATTTTCGAGAAAAATTAGTTACCAAACATCTTACATTTAACGGATGAAAGATTTTCAATTTTTATATTAATCAACATCTTTGCGACAAATATACTTAAAGAAAACTAGAATCAGTTTTTAATATTAGAACATTTATATTCTAGTGGTTGTCCTTTTCGTTACTCATTTTCTAGGTTTTTTTAACTCCAGTTTGAAAACTACTCCACGTTACAACTCAAATGTTCTTTACAGCTTAGTTGTTTTGTATAAGCATATCATCTGTGGACCTTGTATTATACTCCCAGATGAATCGGGTTGCAAACTAGTAACCAGTAGTTTTTGAAGATTATTCATTCGGCTCTTCAATGAATTATATTATAAAAAAGTACAATGTCTGAGGACGATCAAAATTCTAAGGAGATTGTAACATCATATGATGAAATATTGGAGATCACAGGATTGTTAGCTATGCGTGATAATTCAACGTCATGTGTCACTGAAAAGAAAGAGACTCCTAGTTCAACGGATAATGCCAATAATGGTGATGTTAATAATGATGATATTGTATTACCAATACAAAGTTGTACACAATTACCACTTAGTCCTAGTCTGGTATCCTTAATTGAAGATGGTGGTCCTAATTGTCGAACAATTTCAATTGCTAAAACCAAAAATAATAACGTCGGCTTTACATTTACAGAAATAAAACAGGTATTAAATTTATATATATATATATATATATATATATATATATATATATATAGAGAGAGAGAGAGAGAGAGAGAGAGAGCATAGAACTGGAGCAATAAAAATTCTTTTGATTCGTTTGCCGCTATCCAAGTGTTGAGTTGTTTTTACAATCTACGGATTGGGATGGATTTTATTTAAATTAGTTAAATTTACCAGGGACTCTGTAAATGTAAAATATTTGCAGCTAGGAAATTTTAATTAGTACACTTGGTAATAACATTGATTAAACATTTAATAGAGTATAGTTCCAGATGTATGCACCTTTAAGGATTTTTTAGGGGAGAGATATATGTTAATGCAATGAATAACTGATCCTAGTGATTTTATTTCACTGACAGATTAGAGTAGGTTATTCCGACATCTTGAAAACTTACTAGTAAAGTAATTAATATAAAGAGATGTCGGATAAAAACGTTTCACTAGTAAAAAATAGCTACGACTCCTGTGACTAGGTGTTTTTGAAATATTTTATCTCATTAGTGGATGTAAAAGAGTTTATCAAGTTTTTTGGAGAAAAAGCCTAAATATAGTTTAAACTTTTGCTTCTATAAAATGTTGAGTTCAAGCCTATTACATTTGGAATTGTAGCTTAGATTACAGTCATTCTGAAGGATGCAAAGTGTATTATCATAATCAGATATGCTATTGTCATTCGTTTATCATTGTTTTTTTTCTGTTTTAATAAGTTGCACACGTTATTTATTTTGGATTTGTTTTTCCTTTGTTTAAAGGGATTATTTGTTTCTCATGTAGACGAAAGATCTTCTGCAAAGTTGAATAAAGTACGTTTTGGTGATAAGATTCAATGCATAAATGATACAGAAGTTACATCTTATACTCAAGCTAAACAACTTATTGAAGAAACACATCCAACTGTAAATTTTTCTTTTATCGACTGGTAAGATTATGTTTGTTTTCTCTTATTTAAATAGTTTTTAAAAGTACTTAATAGTTATTTGGACCGCTTAAAGAGTGAAAATTGAATTTGCATAGTTTTCTAATTGTTACCTAACAAATAAAAAAACGAATTGAATTGAAAAGACATAGGGGAGACATATAAAGTCCCAAAGTTACCTACCCTATGAACATAAGTATTAATAATGTTTGATTTATATTAAGTGGAAAAGTGTGCGTTTCAGTTTGTGTAACGCATTTCAGAAGTGCAGTTTGATATTTTATTGTTCTCAGGCCAAATTAACTTCTGTTGTCAATGGGCACAATGATTACTTCGTCATGTCACGATACGTTGATGTGAAATATCGGAGTGTTGAATCGTTTTACTTACTCCCAAGATGAAAAAGTTTATTTCAGTTTTGGTTTAAATTAGTGTCCAGTTTAATATTAATAACTTGGACGACATGTCTGAGAATCGACCACAAAGGCGTTGGTGTATACACTGTTTATCTTCCCTTAAACCGTGATATTAAATTTACTTTATACCTTTCTTTTTATGAAGTAATTCTTTTTGCCTGTATCATATCCTTATATACAGTCCTTTTTATGTATATTGCTGCGACTGAAGTAACTGTTTCTATGAATTTGGTGTTCATTTTATTGTACTAATGATGTATGGGAACTTGAACCGATGCATATATTTGCCTGGTCCTATGTTGTAGATGACTGACTGACTAACTTAATACTAATAGCTGATTTGGTTAGATACGTTATGATAAGTCTTGGGGATTGAACGCCATATTCGTTTCCTAAGCTATTCTGTAACCCCCGAGCTAGAACTATACAGCGACCTGAACAACGAGAGAGAAGACGCAAAGTATGCGAGAAGTACTTTACTCCAACGTTCATTTTAACACAGAAAATATAGGGTTTTTATAATATTTTAAAATGTTTTTGGGTTGCTCGAAGATTCTGGAATGCTACTAAACATAGTAGCAGTGTAACAATCAGCCTGTCAGAACCTCTGCATGTGACTTTTCGCTTCCTTGATATTTTTGGCTAAAACTTTAAGTGAACGCTGCTTGAATGAAACGCTTCTTAGTATTTCCTGACCCTTGCTTGTCTTTTGCAAGAAATTTTCTGGATCACTCCAACACGTTAAGCGTTTCAGTTGCTCGACGGGTTACATTTATATTAGTGGATTATTGATTAACAAAGTTTCAACTCAAGTATTAACAACTGTATTTTAAGACTTATTACGCACAAAAGGTGTTTGGTACAAAGAGGGAGCCGATAAATGTCTCACATAAAATGAAATGACAATACTTTTAATAAATAAAATGGAATAAATCTTAAAAACTACGGTAAAAAGTATTAACTGAAGCAGTTCAAGTTCACTTAAATGGTCCACCATGCTGTTCACAAGGGATATGATAAAAAAAATCATTTCAGCATCATCATTGGCTTTTATTTCGACCTATAGGTGATAACATTTTACGTAATCAAATAAATAATGTAAATAGTTTAAAACATAAATCCCTTTAGTCTATTGTTGTAAACCAAAAGATTGCTAGCTCCATACAAATACATTACGTTCAACAGTGCGTCTCAATTTATTTCCATCTTATCTAAGTATCAAAAAATAATTCTCTTTATGGGGAGCCTCTGAGAGGACATTTGTAAAATGTGGCTCAACCACCAGATTGGATGTTTCCAAGATAGTAAAATTCATCCAATGATTCATATTGATATGTGGCTCTCAGGTTTACATTACATTAATATTGATCTTGTTCTGGCATTTACACAGCCACAAGTGTACACAAAGTTTTTAAATATTTTGAGCAATACACTATAAAGTGTGAGTGAAGCCATAGATTCATATCAGTCTTGTAGAAGTGCTTTACATTTCATTCGTGCTAAACACATACTATACTTACGGTTGCTGATCAACAATTGGTGGAATGAATAGTGTGTACCTCATTTCATATTGAAATGATGTTTTCATACTCAAGGTCAAAACACCTTTCAACTAGTGATAAACTTACATCCTTAGAATATGATTGATAGCGTAATTGTAGTTAATTGAGTGGATTTAACGACAGTACTTCCAATTTCGAACAATTCAGGAATATGGTTATGTGGCTTTGACCTACCTGAAATGTTTTTGACAAGGTCTTAAAAATTGTAGTAAACATCGCAAATATCTACTAATAGTCAACAATACTAGAAGACAACTCCATCCAACGAATTAAATATAGCTCCAATGTGTAGAAATATAATAATTATTGGTGACCTGTAATACACGTAGTGGTGTCGAAACATATGAAGACAGGTAAGGACGTAATTGGTGCATTTATGAGCTAAATAAAACCTGACCTGCTCCTAAAGACTCAACATTACACTTGTTTCTCATTATGTACGTATTATGATAGAAGGCATTATTTTGGAATCAGTCGATGACACAATGTACGCCACATACGCTAAGTAGACAGAGTTGGTTGAAGAATCCTGGTAGGCGGCCTGTATGTATATAACACCAATCCGTAAGTTAGTCCTGGATGTTACCATTCCTTTATTCTTCGTTTGTATATAACAGTTATCTCATACATCCATTGAATATTAGATCAAGAAGTTATATTTATAGTAAACAAACAAACAATATAGCGAATCGACTGTACAAGTTTATTCATATTGTTTTCATGTTTGTTTGTTTATTTAGCCCTTATAGAGAAGTTAAAACAATTTATAAAATTCATGGAAAATGTGGTCTTTTCATCAATGATGGTATGATTTTAGATCGTACAAAATATTTCAGTGCAAAAAGTGATAAAATTCCATTGAATTATTATATTACTGAAATTGATGGTCATAGTACTGTTCGTCTATTAGATGAGAAAATAGTTTTATTAGTTGAACGTGCTAATTCACCATTCTCTCTTCATATTGTACCTCAATGGTTTTATGAATATCTTGTTTTTGGGTAAGTTTTTATATCTCTTATTTTTTCCTTATATCCATTAAGTTGTTTAACTGTCTTCATTCTCTTTTCTGAAACCGGTGAAAAAAAGTGTAGAGTCTTCTGACCACCTTATACGATAATATAAGCATGTTTAAGGTGCGTTTTTTCCCACCTAAATGCAAAACGTTGTCTTAGTACTGGTTTGCGTCAACACCTAAGCTAACGATAAGGACGAAAGTTGTTCAGTGTGTTGATCACTTTTTTTTCTGGCTTTATTCAATATTATATTTTTGGTACAATATAGAATTTTCACAGATTGGAATCATGAGTCAGTTGAAGCTAGACCACCATGGAAAACCTGGAAGCACTAGACGGCTGTTTCGTCCAAGTATGGAACTCCTCAGCAGTGCGCATCCACGATCCCACACCCCGCGGGACTCGAATCCAGGACCTACTGGCTTCGCGCGCGAGCACTTAACCACTAGACCACTGAGCCGGCATCCAACGTTGTTAATGTCTAACTTCAACCAATCCACGAAGTTGCGCCACCATATACCATTGTCTTCAGTGAGCTAATATCTCACAACAGACCTGGTTATACTCCACTGGTAACGGCTTCCCACTAGAACTCCAGGAGTATCTCTTGAAGTCAGTCACTAGTGAGCAGATGATTATTATCAGAAGGGGTTTGTGGAGATTTTAGAAATTTCACAGGTTGAAATCATGAGTCAGTTGAAGCTAGACCACCATGGAAAACCTGGAAGCACTGAACAGCCGTTTCGTCCTAGTATGGGACTCGTCAGCAATGCGCATCCACGATCACACACCCCGCGGGATTCGAACTCAGGACCTACTGGCCGTTCAGTGCTTCCAGGTTTTCCATGGTGGTCTAGCTTCAACTGGCTCATCATTTCAATCTGTGAAATTTCTAAAATCTCCACAAACCCCTTCTGACAATATAGAATTTTCAGCACGAAGTATTTTAACAGTTTTCCTTAACAAACATCATTCTTATCAAAATTCCACATATTGTTTTCTTATTTCATATCATAGATTAGATCCATCAGGAAATGAACTCAAAAAAGGTAAACGAACACTTTTTAGCTGTTTCCATAAATCATGAATACATAACTAGGGATAAATGAATGTTTATTATTTCTTTTTGTCTATATTATGTATACTTAATCATATTTCTTTCTGTTTATTTATCATTAACCAGAATATTTACTGTTATTATTATTATTATTGAGATGTTATTGTAAATCATGAAGATGAACTAGAAAACAAGGGAAACAATTCTAGACTATTCTACCCTGTTTTCTTTAATTCTCCTCCCCCCTCTGTGTACTTCACTCATCTATTTGCCTTTCCGCAATCTCCATAAAGCGCCATTTTGTTTTTGTAAAAACTCAAATGTATTTTGTTTTATGTTAGTTGTTTGTTTTGTTTTCCGGTTCTTTAGTATTTATTTTCATCATATAATATTTTTGTTGTTAATTACTTGTTCATATCAGTGACCTTATCTTCTTGGAAAATTGCCTTTGTTACTACCATTAGTATTATTATTATTATTATTGCTTGATATTTTATCATTGTTAATTTGTTTATTGTCCATGAGAATTTCTCATTTGGTTTTTATTATCACAGTTAGTATTTATCAATTTTTTCCTTTTTCTTTTCTCTCTCTAAAAAGAGTAATTCAAAGGAATGTTTATTATTATTATTATTATTATTATTATTATTATTATTATTATTATTATTAATAATCTGATAGAATTCACTTGGTATTTGTTATTAGCATTATCCGATCGGGAAGCTACACGTAAGAATCCTAGAATATTCTTCCGAAAGGTGATTAGATGGAACGTCTTCGGCTCTTGAGCCTCTTAAAGTTTCCTCGAGTTCGCCGGTGATCCGTCGTCACAGTATTGTTTTAATTAAATCTTCTTATTGATGTTTAAGACTGCAATTGATCAATTTCTTATTGGCATATATGCATACTGTGCGTATTGCCTCGATATCGCTAATTGTATTATGCGATGGCGTTTGAAGCGAATGGTACCGGGTTCGAGTCCAAGAGTGAACATCAACTTTAAGATGCCGGTGCATCCAGCTGACGAGTTCCAAATAGGACAAAACATGTGTCCTGGATTCCACTGTTAACCACTGTCCATCTTTTCTTATAATCTGATAGATTATTTTCATAATGTCGCCTTGTTTTAACTAATTTTGCTCAATAGAGCTCTGTAATTGTAAACACTTTATAATTGATATGATCAATAGGTGATACGATTACTGTTACCGGATCGTTTGAATCAGAATTAATGTAACAGAATTCAGACACGGTTTTTTTCTGGTCAACGTCGTTATTATTACCATGAATTTAATTCAACAACTAACTTGTGTTAAATAATAGATAAACCAACTAATTGATTTGTTGTTTGGTTCAACTTCCTTTTAACACAGAAACATAACTTTAAATACCGTTTAAAATAACATACAGATCCAATAGATTCAGATCATTGATAATGTTACATTATGAAATGATGGCAAAAATTAACCGGTATACTTAGAGTAGAATCTAGTGTATTTGAATTTGTTTCAAAGGTTCTATCAAGTGAATAAAAGCTATATGAGATGAGAGCTAACATATACATATACTTTAATATTCGTATTTCCATACTTACAGAACGTTCATCATGAAGCATATAAGACATTTTCCTGTCGGTCTTTGAAAAAGTGTTTAATATCGTTGTAAAAACAATATATGCTGGTTATATTATAGCAGTAAACTATTCTTAGAGTGTTAACAATTCTCTTATACATCTAGATCAGGTGTCATTTGTTTTAATCAAATGTTAATTTTATCTCTTAGTTGATGGATTTACGTTAAAACACCAAGAATCTTTATATGAACGATTTCGTCTACTATATTAAAGAACATCATTTCATTTCAAATACTTAGAGAATGTTTAACAATGTGTAATAAGATGATCACCTAGTATATTCCAGGACTAATAATATAATTGGCTATGAATGAATAAATTGTTCGTGTCTTAATCCTCATAGTTTACATTACCAGCGGGTCTTAATGAAGAGACTACCAAAAGCCCGGAAGCAATAAACATCTGTTTCATCCTAGTATGGGGCACCTAAGTAATACGTATCAACGACTCTACTGAGTATCGAACCCATGGCCTTCGATGTTGCAGAGAGCACCTCACCATCAAGTCAGCATTCAATTGTGTACTTGTAAGAGTTTAATCGATTCACTGTATTGCGCGACCATTTTCCAATGCTTGTGGCGAATGACCGTCTCTTACACAACATGGTTGGACTCCACTTGTCATGACTTTTTAGTAGAACTCGTTGAATTACCTGCTAAATTCAATGTTTAGTAAGCACAAATTCTCTATACTCATTAATGTGTCAAGCAAAGTTGGGTATTGGTTAGCAGTGGTACCTAGACACGCGTTTTGTCCTACTTGGGATTCGTCAGATGGGTATGCTTGCACATCAATGTTGATGCCCACATTAGGACTCAAACCTAGTACTTTTCTCTTCAAAGGCTCAAAACTAGTTACTATCCGACTCTGCCTATAATGCTTATGGGGTATAGTAGCAATGTTGAATCATTTCGCACAGAATCGGCATGTACTAATAAAGGCAAAACTTTATATCTACCAATATAAGGTACTAACAAGTAGTGTATGTGGTAAGAAGACAAATCTATGATCACGTGACGAGTTATATCTTACAGATAAGCCAGTTGATTTATTGATTTTGTAAGTTATATAAACACATTAAATTACTGATTGACTAATAGTTCAATGTACTCGAATTTACTTACAGATCGAGCATTTAGAATGTCAAATATTTCATGATCGTTTTCAATATCCTATTAATTAGTGATCGGTGAATAAATCAGTCCATTTGTACAGTTTTTTTTCTTCCTTGTGTCAACATACTAGTCATATTCTGTTGCAATTAGTGTTAGTAGGCAATTATTTTGGGGTCACAGGAAACAGTCGTACTAGTAATCAGTATTTATGTCAAGACACAACAGTATGATAAATAGGATTAAGGTATCGATGATAATGATAATATTAATTTTCGCTTTATTTAGTACCATATATTCGATTAGAATAAAGATTTCTCAACAAGAAATAAGCAGTATTTCATAGATTTCTAAATTAACAAACCATTTAGTTACGTTTTCTTGATATCACGGACCGATCTATGTTAGACAATATTCGAAAGCCTGGAAGCAATGGACAGCCGTTTTGTCTCAGTATAGGCACTCCCCAGCAGTGACCACCCACGACTCTGCAGGTAGGAATCTAACTAATGATCTGTCATTATATATGTATATTTCAGTATTAGCTGAATGTCATTTATTTTCATTCCTATTGATGGTAATTTTCCATAATAATTTTGATGAATAATGCTTTTCATTTCAAGTCTTCGATTGACAGGTCACAATGTAAGATTCATTAGATGATCTAAATGGTAATACGAATAAGAACAGTAAAGCTAATTCATATATATCCTTAGTTCAATATTTTCTGGTTACTGAGTCCAGGATAGGGTTGGGTGGAGAGTGCTGGTGGGCGGCCTATGCTCCTTCACAATGAGTAACAGGCGTAAGTAAGTAGTGAGAACCTTGAATTTGTAGGATTAGTTCTGAACTACTTATAAGGTTGTATAGCAGTATGAAGTGTGTCGCTAAATGTTTTCTAGTGAACTATACACTAGAGAGTTTGTATTATTAGGCATATTTTAGTATTTGAAATAAAATCGTATTTTTATTGCCTTCTGTATAATCAGCGACTAAACTTATTCAAAATAGTTTGTTCATATCTTATGAGCAAAGTTGAACTGTGACTAGCAGTGGAATTGAGGATGTGCATATTGTTCTTTTTGGGACTTGTCAGCCTGATGTATTTGCGTAGGATACTGTTAGGTCCCGATAAGCATAATGAATGGTAAATTTTGGGATCCATTTATGGACCAATACTATACTTATATTTTTATCGTATAATTGTTAAATAACTAAACTATACATATTCATGACCCACTTATTCTGAGCTTTATTTTGACATATAAACTATTATTATATGATCTACCATTTTGAATTATGGACTGTCTATCAACACTACCTCCCACATTCACAGCCACATTTGGCCAAGTGTTGTACAAATGTTATTTCCTATTTTATGGTATGATGTGGTCTATCTGTTTGGTATATAAACCTGGTATGTTTGAAATAAACGATTCATATTGCAGAGGTTGAGATTGGTGTTCTGGACTTAACTGGCTGGGCTAGGCAGGAAGCAGGTCTAATAAGGTGTTATAACTTGTGACCGCCGATTAGAGGGCAGTGACTTATCGATCGGATCAATGACGTGTAAAACACGTGCGGGTAGCCTAGAGTCCTGATTGGTCCTGCTTTCCGCCTAGCCCAGCCAGTTAACTCCAGAACACCAGTCTCAGCCTCTGAAATATGAATCATTATATTTCAAACATACTGAGTTTATATACGAATTAAACAGACCACAACGCTCCAATAAAATATGAAACAACATTTGTACAAGAATTAGCCAGATGTGGCTGTGAATGAGGGAGGTAGTAATTAATATACTGGGTATAACTCAAGAATGGTAAATGTATAATAATAGTTTATGGATCAAAATAAAGCTTATAATAAGAGGAATATGAATAAGCATAGTTTAGTCACTTAATAATTATACAATAAAAATATACGTTTAGTATTTGTCCATCAATAGATCCCGAAAGCTACCATTCATTATTCTTGTCGGGGCATAACATAAGGACTCTAGGCTGCTTGCAAGTGTTGTACGCGTCATTGGTCCGGTCAATAATTCACTACTCCCTAATTGGCGGTCACAAGTATAAAAGATACTCATATACTAAAAGATAATCATCAGAAACAGATTCGTCGATTAAGAGATAATCGTTTTTTGACAGATTTAACACCTAATTAATACAAATCATATCTGATCTATATATATAACAGAAGTGATAGTATCGCAAGAATAATTTACTTACTTTTGATAAAATCAAAACAGCGATAGACATGTCCACTTGGTATTGTTTGTCTTG